GCCGCTGCTGCTGCTGCTGCTGCTTCCTAGCATTGTGTGGAAAAGTATTTCTTTGTGCCTTGCCTGCAAATGGACGGGGGCAGAAGTGCAAAACTAGACGACGGAAAGTTCGAAGAGTCTAAAACATTGGAGAAAAAAACGGAGACTAGCAGCAGCAGCAGCAGCAGCAGCACGGGTCGACTGCACTAATGGAAAAGAACACAAGACACGGACTAGGGTCCCGTGATCCGGGTGTAGTGACACTGCAGAACAACACATCAAAACCCCAGCAGCAGAGAAAAGGGCTGACGGAAGCACTTAATAAACACTTTCGAAGCTCATTTTGCATGTTTGCTGCTTCTCCCGCAAGCTCCCAGGAGAAGCTGAGGGCCCCTGGGGGCCCCTAGGGTTTCCGGGAAACTCGCGGCATCCCTAGAGTTTAAAAGAACAAAAAAAAACTGAACTGACGACCTGAGTTGCTGCTCGCTGCGCTTCTGAGGTGTACGTACACCTCAAGTGCGCGCGCGCAGCTGCGGTGTACGTACACCCCGCGCGTGTGGGGAGCTCGGGTGTAGAGACACTTCCACACTTTGCATTTCTTTTGAGGTGTACGTACACCTGAAGGCCCGCCTCTGGCCTGCTGCGCTTCTCGGCGAGCAGCAGCAGCAGCAGCAGCAGCGGAGGCTCGAAGAACTAAAACCATTTCGAAATGTCTAAAATTGAATTTGAAGGCCTCCTGTTCATCTGCGAAGGCTCTCAGCAGCAGCAGCAGCAGCAGCAGCAGCAGCAGCAGCAGCAGCGCGTGCATGCGTGCAGCTCTACACGTATGTGTCCTCAGATTTCGCCGCGAGGCGTCACTTGCTCGCCGCCTGCTGCTGCTGCTTCTTTTGCTGCTCCTTCTCCGCAAGATGCACCTTGGGGTTCTTGAGTTCCATCTCCCGCCTGAAGCGCTCGCACTGCTGCAGCTGCTCTGGGTTCTCCGGGGCCTCCGGCAGCAGCTGCGGGTAAATTGCATGCATCTTTTTGGCCACAGAAAGTTCGAAAGGCCTTTGCCCAATTATGTTCCCGCCTGCGCAGCCATTTCCACACAAACCCAACCACTCCTCATTAGCTCAACAGCTAGCTAGCTAGCTAGCTAGCTAGCCACTTGGATAGGCAGTTAGCTAGCCAGCTAGCCAGCTAGCTACTTGGATCGGCAGGTAGCTAGCTAGCTAGCTAGCCAGCTAGCCACTTGGACAGGCAGTCAGCTAGCTAGCTAGGTAGGTGCTTGGATAGGCAGTTAGCTAGCTAAGTAGCTGCTGCTGTCCTAGGTAGCTGGCTAGCTAGGAGCCCGCAAGCGTGTGGGGCGTTTGCGGCGCGGGGCCCCACACTGGGGGCCGCATGCAGCTGCGGCTCACTGGGGTTGTACTGACAGCCCGCGAGCAGCAGCGGCCGCCCCCCCGAACAGCTGCGGCTGCAGACCACGTAGGCGCAGCCAAACTGCTGCGAGTGCTGCCAGGCCACTGCAGTGTAGTGGCCAGTCATCAGCCCGTGGGCGTGGAACTCCGTGCTGCACTTGGGGCCCATGACGCCCGTGCAGGGGTTTCCCACTTTCCCGAACCTGCGCGGCGCACGCCCTGCTGCTGCTGCTGCTGCTGCTGCTGCTGCTGCGGGGGAGCAGCGGGCGCGGGCTGCGGTGCGCCGCTGGGCTACGCAGTTCGGGTGCTGGGCCAGTGGCGGGGAAGGGGTGCAGCGTGCAGGGCTGCGGTTTGGGGTTCGGGGGTTAGGGTTTAGGGTTTAGGGTTTAGGGTTTGCGCGGCCTCACCTGTAGCAGCCCGCCTCCGAGGCCCAGGAACTGGGAATGTCAGTGGGCAGGGGCCCCACAGTGCAGCCAGTCCACAAGTTCTCTCCTATGCCTTGTTTCATGTTGGGCTGCAGCAGCAAAGCAGCAAGTCTGCAGCAATTTGCTGCTGAAGGCTGAGTGCCGCTGCTGCTGCTGCTGCGGCGGCGGGCCCCAAACCCTAGCAGCAAGCTGCGCCGTCGATCCGCGCGCAGCCGCGAGCCACGCAGACGCTGCCGCGCGGCCTTCAGCGCTGAGTGCTTAGGGTTTAGGGTTTAGGGTTTAGGGTTTGGCTCACGAGCTCGCGGGCCTCGTGGGGCGAGTGCTCCATCCTGCACTCCTGCAGCAGATTTTGGTGCTGCAGATACTTCAGCATATTTGCTGCTAACAAATCATTCCACTTCAAGCCTGGCAAAGAGTGCTGCCGCCGCACGGCGTTGTGGCCCTCCAGCATAACTGCAGCAGCAAAACAGCAGAGCTGCAGCAGCAAAATAAATTCCAAATCAATCCCATTTCCAAAATAACACTCCCAATCACACGCGGTTCCCCTCCGATAATATGTGTGGGGGCCCCCACAGGGGCCCCCACAGGGGCCTCTATAAGCGCCCCACAGGGGCCCTCATTGGGGCCCCATAGGGGCCGCCACAGGGGCCCCCACAGCATGAAGTGGGGCCCCCATGGGGGCCTCCTTAGGGGCCCTCCAGTAAGAAGCTTGCCCCCATAGGGGCCCCCATAGGAGCCCCCTAGAGGCCCCATAGGGGCCCCCATAGGCGGCCAGAGGGGCCCCTGGGGGGCCTCCCGAAGAAGTCTTTTCTGCCAGCTGACCTTCGCGGAACTTGTCCATTGTCACTGCAGAACACACAACAGCAGCAAGAGCGGGACTTTTCTGCTGCTGCTGCTGCTGCTGCTGCTGCTGCTGCAGGGGGGCTAGGCAGCAGCAAGGGGGCTCGTTGAGGAGGGAATTGAACGGAGGTTAAGGGGCCTCACTTCTTTCCTGGCGGACAACTCCCTGGCTCTCCAGCTTGCCTTCGCAAGACCCTTTTTTAGGGTCAAACTTTTGAACTATTCGCAGCTGCAGCCCCGCCCCAAAAGCCCCCACCAAACCCTCCGTCCCATACGCCCGCTGCGTCAGCCCTGTGTCGTAGATGAAGCAGCTCTTGGTGCCCGTGTGCACTGCAGCGCAGGCGCAACCGCCGAGGGTTTAGGGTTTAGGGTTTAGGGTTTGGGCTTGGCACTTCCGGCCTGGGGTTTAGGGTTTCAGACTTCAGGGCCTACGGTTTAGGGTTTGAAGTTCAGGTTCAGCGTCTAGGGTCGCGGATTTAGCGTTTAGGGTTTGGGCTTTGGGGATTGGGGTTTCGAATTTAGGGTTTAGGGTTTAGGGTTGCAGTCCGCACGGCCAGCGCGAGGAGCGGATTCAAGCTGCGGGATGCGCTCCCCCCAAATTTCTAAACCCTAAACCCTAAACCCTCGCTTTTGAGGCGCACAAATGGAAATGGTTTTCATTATTCGTCTTCCCAGATCTTCCTTGGAGCCCTCGGGAAGGCCTGGCGCTTCCCCTTCAATAGCGCTGAAGAACTCTTCACCGCCTGCTCGCAAGCAACAATAAAAGGGTTTAGGGTTTAGGGTTTAGGGTTTAAGGTTCAGGGCGTAATATATGACCTAAGGCCTTTGGTGACCCAAGGATAGCCACCAGCGACAGCTAGGACCCTCTGGGGGCCCCCTAGAGCCCTCCGGGGCCCCCCAGATATATCTCGGGGCCCCCAGGGGCCCCTGGGGGCCCCTTGAGGGCCCCCAGAGATACAAGGGCTCCCCAGGGCCTCCAGGGTCCCCCGGGGGCCCTTAGGGGCCCCCAGAGGCCTCGAGACGGGGTCTGCAGGGGCCCCCAGGGGCCCCAGGGTTTGGGGCCCCCAGGGGGCCCCCGGGGGCCCCCTGGGGCCCCTGGAAGAAGAGTGAAGGGTTTAAAAGACCCACTTTTGCAGCCAAGAGAAGAAAGACAAATTTCAGTTTTGGCCAAAGTCAAGCAGCTGGACGCTCCCTTGCGAGCTCTTGTGAGCTTCATGCGTTTGCCGTGGCCGCAGCTGGTGGAGCAGGAGCTCCAGTTGGTCTCCATTGTGTGGCAGCCTGCAGCAGCAGCAGCAGCAGCAGCAGCAGCAGCAGCAGCAGCAAGTGTAGACCAGTAAGGCGGGTGGCGACGAGCATTTATATATATATATTTATATATATATATATTTATGTTTTTTTGCTTGTTT